CCTATATATTTCAATGATATCACTTCTTATTGCTCTAAACTCCAGTGAATAGAGTCCCAACCTATTTAATCTTTACTCATCAGACAATCCCTCTCTACTGGGAATCATCCTAGTACACCTTCTCTGAACTACCTCCAATGAAATGAAATCTTTCTTTAAACAAGGGAACCAAAACCGCTCACAGTACTCCAGATGTGATCTCACTAGTACCTTGTACATTTGCAGTAAGACTTCCTTCCTTGAACCCCTTGAAATAAGAGTCAACATTCTATTAGCCTTCCTGATTACTTGCTGCACCTCTGGTTTTTTTTTTGTTTTTTGCACAAGTACTCTCAAATCCTTTGTGTTGCAGCTTTCTGCAGTTGTTTTTTTTTCAATTTAAATGTTACTGTTATTTTGTTCTCCCTTCCAAAATGAACAACTTTGCATTTTCCCATATTATACCCCTTTTGTCAATTTTTTGCCCACCTAGTTAACCTATCAAAAGCTCTCTGTAAACTATTTGTATTTCTCTCACAACCTGCCTTTCCACTTATTTTCTGTCATCTGCAAAGTTGGCTACAGTATTTCTTTCCTTCCTCTAAGTCATTAGTACATATTGTAAACAATTGCGGTCCCAGGACTTATCCCTGTGGACCCCACTGATCAAGGGTCACCAACTTGAAAATGCACCCCTTACCGCCACTCACTGTTTCCTGCCCATGAACCAACTGTCTCTCCATGACAATATACTATCTCCAACACCATGGGCTCTTATCTGCCTGTCCTCAACCTCAATCCATCCTTGCTAATTTGCATTTCACATCCATATAGTTCCCTTTATTTAGATTCAGGACTCAAGTTTCAGATTTGTATAGCTGAGAATAAAATGGGAGAATGGTCTGGAGTGTAATTGTTGGCCTGTTTTTGTGCTGCATATTCTTTGTATTGTGCAACATGGTCACCTCATCTCACAAACTAGACAACTAGCAAAATATGATGCACAACCTGAGCTCTGAATACTGTGCAGCATTCCCAGCACTGAGTGTCAGTCCACCATTGAAAGATAAATAGTCACTACTCCATGTCAACAAACAAAAGAACAGAAATTGGTTTGGCAGCATCTGTGGAAAGAAAGCAGAGGATTACTGGACCTGAAACGTTAACTCCCCACAATTTCTGTTCTTGTTTCGGGTTTATCTCATGTCAACAAAGTATCTTGCTTTTATAATTGGAATATCACCAAGATTTATTTAGATAGAGAGATTGCAAGAACTGCAGATTTATTTAACCTATTTTTCAACACGTTCAGAAATGCTGTTACGAATCCCTGGAGCATGTAGGATTTGAACCTGAGCCTCCTAGTCTAGGGTAGGGACATTAGCATTACGCCTCAAGAGGGCCTCTTAAAGTACCTCGCTGACCCTTTCCTCCTAAAGCACTAGAGGGAGGATTGGGGAAGGTGGGTGTGGAGGTGCTCAAAGGGGAATCAGTTTCAGCAGCCGCACCAGCGGCTCCTCATTGGCCGTCTCTCCCACTGCGCGTCACAACGTATCTTAAATACGAACAATAAAAATGCAAATAACGTTGCGTTCCAATGAAATATAAGATGGATCGGTGTATGATAAGCGTCATGCAAATAAACATCGCGTCATAAACAGCATACATAATTAATAAACAACATGCAAATTAGAGGCGCGTCATAATACAGCGAACATAATTATTAAACAGTATGCAAATGAGATTCCTCGCGTCATCCTGTGAGGTCAGTCTTTCGGTGCGCAAGCGCACGTATTTTGCGGCCGTCCGGAGCCGGGCTGGGAAGATGGTTCTGAAGTGGGCCTGAAATCAGGAGAGTGGCAAATACTGACCCGATCAGTAATTGGAAGGAGACAGGCAGTTGCCGACGTAAATCTGTGTGTGTGAGAAATTAGGTCCTTGAGGAGGTTTGGCAAGGGGGGGCGGGGAATATATTCCAGAGAGAGAAAAGGAGAAAAAAAAGACCCCGAAAGGCGAAGGGGTGATTGAGATGTTGTTGGTGTCGGGGCAACAGCTCCAGGAGGGCCCGGTTTGAGATTCATCATCATCATCATCGTCGTCGTCAGTAATCAGTCTGCTTCGAAGATGTGGCTCAAGCTTTTCTTCCTGCTCCTCTACTTCCTCGTCCTCTTCGTGCTGGCTCGCTTTTTCGAAGCCATCGTGTGGTATGAGACCGGGGTGTTCGCTACGCAGCTGGTGGATCCCGTGGCTCTGAGCTTCAAGAAGCTCCGCACCATTCTGGAGTGCAGGGGAATTTGCTACGCCGGCCTGCCCGAGAAGAAAGATGTCCGGGAGCTGGTGCAGAAATCAGGTAACGAATCAGACTGTTTTCAAAAAAAGAATCTGCGGGTGCTAGAAATCAGAAATAAAAACAATTTGCTGGAACAAAAATATAACAAATCTGACCGCATTCGTGGAGAGAAAGCAGAGTTAACGTTTCGGGTCCAGTACCTGTTCAGAACTCATTGTGCGTACATGCCAACCCTTTCCTAGCTATAATCAGTTCTGAAGAAGGGTCATTGGACCTGAAACGTTAATTCTGTTTTCTCTTCAAAGATGTTGCCAGACTGTTTTCAAAGGCGCTGTGAATTCTTTCACGTTTGCCCCCTTTCCTCCATTTAGATGCTGCCAGACTTGCTGAGTGTATCCTACATTTTTTTAATTCTAAATATTCGGGTAATGGTGGTCATGGGGGACTTCTCTCTCCAAAGCTTGCTGACCCCACACAATATTCATTTATCCTTCAAGAAGGAATAATTTGGCTATTTCAGCTACGTTTTATTTTGTGTTGTTGTTGCAAATCTTTTATGTTTTGATCCCGGTCCTTAAGTGTTTATTTACTTCTGTTCATCATAGCTTGTTTTAAAGTACAAATATGAAAGCAAAATACCACTGGTGCTAAAAATCAGAAAATGCTGAACGAACTCAACAAGTCAGGTAATATCCATTGGGAGAAATGGTGCTGAAATTTCAGATCAATGACCGTTCATTGTTGGTCTGAATGAAAAGTCTCAGACCTAAAACATTTAGAGATAGTAGGAACTCTAAGGTTTTGGAGTAGATCTGTAGCTCGGGTTGTGGGTGTTGAGGTGAGCTGTCTTGTTGTTCCGCAGACGTTTCGTTACCGTGCTGGGTAACATCCTCAGTGCAGCCTCTGATGAAGCGTCGGTGTGTTTTCCCGCCTGGTTTTTAAACTCTGGGGTCCATTGCGATGGATTGCCTCACTTCCGGTTTCCTCTATAGTGGAATGTATATGGGGTCGAGTTCAGTGTGTTTATTAATGGCCTGCTTCGTGAATTCATTCAGAAATGAATTTTCAGAAATTTCTGAAGAAGGATCCAGATCCGAAACGTCAGCTTTCCTGCTCCTCTGATGCTGCCTGGCCTGCTGTGTTCATCCAGCTCTACACCTTGTTATCTCAGACCTGAAACATTAACGAGTGATTGCATTGGAGGCAGAGCAGAGAAGGTTCTTTCTCTTATGAAGAGAGATTGAGCAGTTTAGGCCTATGCTGTCTAGAATTTAGAAGAAGAGATCTAATTGAGGTATATAAGCTGTTAAGATAATTGAAAAGTAGATGGAGATGATGTTACCTCTTGTGGGACAATCTAGAATGAGAGGTTGTAATTTTAGGGTAAGGGATAGCAGATTCAAAACAGTTGAGAAATGGGCTTGAGTAGTTCAGGGATAAAATTGTCCATTTTGATAGCTGTTTAAGAATTCAACTTTTATTTCAAGTTTTATTTTAAAGTTAGATTTTATGTGTCAACTTTAGATTTTAGATATTGAAGTCACTTTTTATTTACTTTTGGATTGATGTAATCAGTTTGAAATTGTACACCTTTCAGTAGAATGGAGTTTTCAAGTCACGTGGCACAGGGAAAATCTTCATCTCAATGATTCAATCCAGTTTTCTGTAGCATGCTGTAGTCAATCCCATTCCCTCACCTGTATCCTGTAGCCCTGTAGGTTTGTTTCTCTCTGGTGCCCATCTAGCTCTGTTTTGTAATTAATGATTGTCTCTACTTCCACTTCTCTCAAAATGGCAAATTCTGTACCCACTGCTGCATCACTTGAATCTATGCCTCCTCATCCTTGTGCAAACAACTGATGGGAACAACTTTTCTTTTGGTATAAAATTAATTACGATGGGATGGATGGGCAGAAAATGGTAGTCCGCAGATATTTGTTTGTTCTTCTGTTGTACGTGTGGGAGAACATAATGAAATACTTTTGGGATGTGTGTACAACCTACTGTAAAGATAGCTGATAGCCATGCTTTGCTAATTTAATGTCTGTTGCTATAAAAGTCACCAAACACTTTGAAGACAAAATGGAAGGCAAAAGGAAAGGGGTATGGAGAAATTTTAAGAGTTTGGAAAATTGCCAACAGTGGCTGAAAGGTTTTTTTGCAGTGTTGAACTAGGGAGATTTTTTCCTGGAACTTAAAATTTTTTTTTTAAAATCATTAACAGGATGTAAATTGCAGTCAGGCCAGCATTTTAGTGTTCACCCCTAACTGCCCAGTGACTAGTTAAGAGACAACACACTGCTGTGTGTCCAGAGTCACGTGTAGGTCAGACCAGGTACAGATAGCAGTTTCCTTCCTGAACGAACATTGAACTGGATGGCTTTTTCTGACACTTGGCAATGGTTTCACAGTTTCACCAGTAAACATCATTTTGGGTTTTTATTGAATTCAAATTCCACCATCTGCCATTGCGGGATTTGAGCCTGTACCTCCAGGACGTTACCTGGGTCTTCGAATTAATTGTCCAGTGATAATATTACTAGACCATCACCTACCATCATATTTTATTGCTAACATAAATTTACCTGAACAAACTTACAAATTAGGAGCAGGTGTAAGTCTTTTGGTTATCTAGCCTGCTCTACCATTTAATAAGATCATGTCTGGTCTGATTGTTGCCTCAAATCCACTTTCGATTTTATGCTTTGTCCTCTTGTTGGTCAAGAGTCTGTTCACTTCTGCCTTAAAAATGTTGTGACTATCTCCACTGCTATCTCAGGAAGACAATTTCACAGACTCATTTTTAAATTATATCCAGTTACTTTAACTCCAACAAGGGAAACTAGATCATGTAAAAATGTAGATTTTTCTAATCAATCTGTTCTGGAGATGCTATTACACACGTGTGGAGCAGGTGGGACTTGGGACTCGGGCCTCTTGGTCCAGAGATCTACCACTGTTTAAACATGTAATATGAGATAAGACTTGAGCTGTTAGAATTCCAGGTTTGAATCAAGATGATCAAGTACAAGTTTGCCGTCTAAAGTTGGGCCTTCTACTATTGACATACCTGTTCGTCAGAAAACAGTACGAATATTGCACCTGTCCCTTGTTTGTCTTTAAGTTGTGTACTATAGGGAGCAAATTTAGTTTAATTTTAGCAGCAGGCGGTGTGTGCATACTTAACTACTTTGAGTTTAACATTGAAAACAATCATTTTAAACTCATCAAACATCCCGCCTTGCATTTGGCTTCTTAAGAAAAACAATAACAAAAATTATTATACATTATAATTTATGAATGGGAAATGCAATCTTATTTCAATCTTATTTCCTCTGCTGTTACTTGATAAGAGTTTTTAAATTGTTATTTGTAATTTTCCTCATTCACAGTTTGCGGCATCGCCGGCTGGGGCAGAATTAACTGCCTGTTCACAGAATGTTCTTGAGGGTGGTGGTCAGCTGCCTTCTTGAACCTCTGCGGTCCATTTAGTTTAGGTAGATCTGCAGTTCTGTTAAGGAGGGAGTTTCAGGAGTGTGAACCAGCAACACTGAAGGGATGGTGATATATTTCTACCAAGATGGTGAATGGTTCGAAGGAGAACTTCATTGTTGTAGTTTTCCAAGTATCTGAGGCCCTCGTCTTTCTGGAGGGTTACAGGTTCGGAAGGTGCTCAGTAAGGAGCCTTGGTGAATTTCTGCAGTGCATCTTATAGGTGACACACCCCTCTGCTACTGAGTATCGGTGACGTAGGGAGTAAATATCTTTGGATATGATGCCAAGGTGCAAGCCAAGTGTTTGTCCTGGATGGTGTCAAGCTTAATGAATGTTGTTGGAGCTGACTTATCTGGGCAAATGGAGAGTATTCCATCGGACGTCTGCCTTGTGCCTTGAATGTGGTGGATAAACTTTGGAGAATCAGGAAGTGAGTTACTCGCTGCAGGATTCCTCTCCTCTGACCTCTTGTAGTCATAATATTTCTGTGGCTAGTCCAGTTCAATTTCTGGTCAATGGTAACCATCACAATATTGATAGTGGGGGGATTTAGTGATGGGAATGCAATTGACTGTCAAGGAACAATAGTTGGAGTCTCTCTTTAATATTCATAGGATAGCCAGCAATTATTACCCGTACAGAATTGTCTTAAAGGGTAGTTGATTGCGTTGCAGCTGGCATCACTAATAGTGATTAAAAACTCAGCTTGTACATATGCCCACTGATTGGGAAGGAAATCTGCCAACCTTACCTTACATTTGACTCGGGAACCAAAACAATGCGATTGACTCTGAGCAGGAGCAAATTACTGCAGATGTTGAAATCTGTACTAAAAACAAAAAATACTGGAATTCACAACTGTCGGGTAGCATCCACAGTGGCAGCAGATACATTCAGGTAAATCTGTCTCAGAAATATGGATTCATTCAAGAAGGAAATATGGGCAGGACAAGGTAACGTGTTCCAATAAATAAAAGGAGTGGCACTGTCAAATTCTGTGAACCCTGAGTATCAAGGGCTGCTCAACATTATGTTAAGATTTTAAAAAGGAGGCTTATGACAGATACTGAGGGCTCAAAACAATAGAGGTCCGTGTGGAGTATAGAATGTGCCAGAGGGAACTTAAAGGAGATGAGGAGAGCTAGGTGGGGACATGAAAAGTTACTGGCAGGTAAAATAAAGGAAAATCCTTAGCTTTTTTACAGGTACATTAGGGTAAAAGGATAACAAGGGAAAGCAAGGAAAGGAGTCCAATAAGGAACATGCAGTGCATAGAGCCAAGGTAGGACTCTAAATGAATAATTTGTGTCAGTGTTCACTATGGGCATAGAAATTAGGGAGAAGGGTCTGTGATACAAGTAAGAAACTTAACATTGAACGGAGGTTCTGAGTAGTCTGCAGGCTTAAAAGTAGATAAATTGCCATGAACTTGTGTTGCAAGGGAGGAAATAGAAGGGTCATTTGCAAAAACTTTCAGTTCCTTCAGCTCATCAATTTGGAGCTCGGTGACCAGTGGTGTTCCACAGGGATCTGTTCGGGGACCTCTGCTCTTTGTGATCTTTATAAATGACTTGGATGAGGAAGTGGAAGGGTGGGTTAGTAAGTTTGCCAATGACACCAAAGGTTGGTGGAGTTGTGGATAGTGTGGAGGGCTGTTGTGGGTTGCAACAGGACATTGACAGGATGCAGAGCTGGGCAAAGAAGTGGCAGATGGAATTCAACCCGGAAAAGTGTGAAGTGATTCATTTTGGAAGGTTGAATTTGAATGCAGAATACAGGGTTAATGGCAGGATTCTTGGCGGTATGGAGGAACAGAGGGATCTTGGGGTCCACGTCCATAGATCCCTCAAAGTTGCCACCCAAGTTGATAGGGTTATTAAGAAGGCATATGGTGTGTTGGCTTTCATAAGCAGGGGAATTGAGGTTAAGAGCCTCAAGGTTATGCTGTAGCTCTATAAAACCCTGGTTAGACCACACTTGGAATATTGTGTTCAGTTCTGGTCGCCTCATTATAGGAAGGATGTGAAAGCTTTAGAGAGGGTGCAGAGGAGATTTACCAGGATGCTGCCTGGACTGGAGAGCAGGTCTTATGAGGAAAGGTTGAGGGAGCTAGGGCTTTTCTTATTGGAACGAAGAAGGATGAGAGGTGACTTGATTGAGGTGTACAAAACGATGAGAGGCATAGATAGAGTGGATAGCTAGAGACTTTTTCCCAGGGCAGAAATGACTGTCACGAGGGGGCATAATTTTAATGTGATTGGAGGAAGGTATAGGGGAGATGTCAGAGGTAGGTTCTTTACATTGAGAATGGTGGGTGCGTGGAACGCACTGCCAGCGGTGGTAGTGGAGTCAGATACGTTAGGGACATTCAAGCGACTCTTGCATAGGCACATGGATGATAGTAAAATGTAGGGTATGCAGAGTAGTTTGATCTTAAGAGTAGGATAATAGGTCGGCACAACATTGTGGGCTGAAGGGCCTGTACTGTGCTGTACAGTTCAATGTTCTATGTTCTTCTCTGGCTACAAGAGCAGTGCCGGAGTCCTGGAGGACGTCCAATGTGGTACCATTAGTTAAGAAGTTAGCAAGGGATAAATTAGGAATCCACAAGCCAGTCAGTCTAACCAGCATAGTTTTGTTAAGGTTCAAACCTCTCTTTTGTCTCATGTCTGACAAATTTGATTGAATCCTTTGAAGAATTCAGAGGTGTGTAGATGAGGACAATTCTTTTGATTTAGCCTACTTGGACTTCAAGGATTTTGATAAGTTCTGCCATTGGAGAATGATAGCAATGGTAAGAGCCCATGGAAATCCAAGGAAATTTGGCAAATTGAATCCACAACTGGCTGAGTGGCAGGAATCAGAGAATCATAGTTGAGGGATGTTTTTCCAACTGAAAATCTGTATCCAGACGGGTCCCACAGGAGTCAGTGTTGGGACCCTTACAGTTTGTGAATGATATGAATAATTTAGACTTGAATGTGGTATCACTAAGTTCACAGAGATGCAAAAACTCAATGGGGCGATAAATAAAGAGGGGGCTAGCCTTGGGTTACAAGAGAATTTAGATGGGCTGGTCAAATGGACTGATCAATGGCAAGTAAATATAAGGTGATGCACTTGGGCAGGGCAGACAACGCAAAGGAATATAGGATGAACGGTAGAGCTCCATGATCAATAGTAGTACCTTGGGAAGCACTGATGATCAGAGGGACCTTGGTGTGCACGTTCACCAGTCCCTGAACATTATCAGGATCAGTGGATAAAGTTGTTAAAAAGGCGTGTAGTATACTTGCATTAATTAACCAAGACGCGCAGTTTAAGGTTATGCTGGAACTGTATAAAACATTGGTTAGGCCACAACTAGAGTATTGTATGCATTTCTAGAACCCATCTTATAAGGTCAGAAGTGAGGATGTGTACTGATGATTGCAATGTTCAGCACCATTCGCGATGACTCAGATTCTGAAGCAGTCAATGTTCAAATGCAACAAGACCTGGACAGTATCCGGGCTTGGGCTGAAAAGCAGTAAATAATATTTGTGCCACACAAATGCCAGGAAATTATTATCTCCGATTAGAGACAATCTAACCACATACCCTTGACACTCAATGTCGCTACCATCGCTGAATCTCCCACTATCAATATTTTGGGGGTCACTATTGATCAGAAAATCAACTAGATTTACCAATAAATATAGTGACTACAAGAATGGCTCCGAGGTTAGGAATTCTGTGGCAAGGAACTCAGGTCCTGACTTCTTAAAACCTGTACAGCATCTACAAAGCACAAGTCAGGAATATGATAGAATACTCCCCACTTTCCTGGATGAGTGCAGCTCCATCTAAGACACTTGGCACCACATCCACAAATGTCCACTCTCTCCAGCACCGATAGTTAGTACACACTGCTGCCAGGATCTACAAGATGCACTGCAGAAATTTTTCAAAGATCTTTATACAGTACCTTCCAAATACACAACCTGGAAATCCTGGAATTTCCTCTCTGGTGGAATTGTGGGTCAACTGACAGCACATAGACTACAACAGTTCAAGAAGGCACCTCATCAACACCTTCTCAAAGGTAATTAAGGTTGGGCAATAAATGCTGGCCAACCATTAATGCCCACTCTCATGGGTGACTTAAAAAGAGACATAGGCCAGTTTAGATGTGTCTTAGTTTTCCTTCTGTGAAAGGACATTAGTGAACTGCCTAGACTTTTACAGCAATCAACAGTGGTTACATGATTGCTGTTAGTCTAACTTTTTATTCTAGATCTTTTTTGAATTAGATCTTGGAGTCTGTCGTGGTGGGATTCGAACCCAAGTCTCTAGAAAATTAGCATGGATTTTGAATTATTAGTCTAGTGTCATTACCATTACCACTAATACCTTCCCTAATAGTTACATTATTGTCTAATTTTGGCACCCTCAATAGGAAGATCTTAATACAAGTAAAAGAGGCAAGTAAACCTTGGTTATGAAAATTTTCACTCAAGATTTGCTGGAGGTATTGAAAACCTTCAAGGTCAATGATGATTAAAAAAGATTAACAAGGAAGTGTTTTAGAGATTTTGTTGATGGTTTTTAGGATCCAGATGGTTATTAGGTTATGAAATGCCCTACTGAAACATGTTGTATTATTTGTTTACTGCCTTTTTAAAATATATCAAATAAATAAACTTTTAGGAAATTTGAATTAATAGGTAGCAATTTCAGAGAACTGCCACAGGGTCAGACTAAATGGTCACCTGTGCTGCAAGATTCTATGATTCTCGATGTAGTTAGATAATAGAAGCTAGGTTTTTTCTCTTGATTTAATCAAAAGCAAACTTGCATCTACTTAGGAACCTTTCAGCGTGACCTAGGAGCTGGAACAGGCCGTTCAGCCCTCTAGTCTGCCCCACCATTTAAGTAGCTCATGGCTGATCAATTTTCAGAAACTGATCAGTGTATGTCTGGAGTTTGCTCCATGGTCGAGCTTCCACAGCTCTGGGGTAGAGGATTCCATAAGTTCACCTCCCTCTGAGTGAAGAAATTCATCGCTGTCCCCAGCTCTCATTGTTCAGAATGCTAGAGAATACGGACCAGTTTCCTCCATCTATTTTAGAAGGGAAGTGAGTAAATGTCAGATAAGCAAACTTGTGGGAAACTTGAATTAATAGGTAGCAATATCAGAGAACTGCCATAAGGACGATTGACTGAATGATCACCTCTTAAGACAATCCCTCTGTTGAATTCCCTCCATGATATTTGTTATTCTACTGTCTTATATCTTCTGGTATCCTATGGTGTTTTTGAAAGTCTTTTGGTGTATTTGTCACTACAGGTGATTTGATGGAGGGTGAGCTTTATTCTGCACTTCGGGAAGAGGAAGCAATGGAATCTACCTCCAGCACCAACTTCAGTGGTGAGATGCACTTCTACGAGCAAGTGGAAGACACTAAAGATGGCATATGGCTGGTCCAAGTAAGTACATTGTTTTATTTTCTTCAAACTAAAACAAAGAACCATGGATGCTAGAAATCTGAAACAGAAACAGAAACTACTCGAGAAATTTGGCAAGTCTGGCAGCATCTATGGAGAGAAAGCAGAATTAACCTTTAGAGTCTAGTGACTTTTCTTTAGCTTGTTCCACAGATGCTGCCAGACCTGCTGAGTTTCTCTAGCAATTTCTGTTTTTGTTTGATATTTTTATTGTCTAAACTTTACATACTAAATTTAACAATAGTTATCACTCTTTCAATAAATAAAGCAGCCAAAGAAGCTAAGTATTATTTGAAGATAGTAGCATAAATGTGGAAAATTGCCTAGGTGTATCCAAGTCAAACTGGCTAAGTACCCTCGACTAGTCTAGTCACTATTTTCAATTCAGTTTTATTGTCAGTGTTATCAAGATGCACTTAGATAACAGTAACCTACTCCTCAATTATCTATTTGCGTTTAGTCAGGGCCACTCAGCTGCAAATTCCTTTACAGCCTTGGTCCAAAAATGGACTATAAATATGACATGAATAGCGACCTATGGTGACATCAAAGAGCCTGCATAATTGGAAATGAGAGGGAAAGCTCATCACTCTTTGGGGATCCCAGCACTTCAGTGCAGAAGACGTGGCTGAATCATTTGCAGGCATCTTCAGCCAAAGTGCTGAGTGGAAAATCCATTTTGGTCTAATCCTCAGTCCCCAGCATCACAGATGTCAGCTATTAGCCAATTCAGTTTATTCCACGTGATATCAAGAAACAACAATGGCTATGTGCTCTGATAACATTTCAGCAATAATACTGAAAATTTGTGCTCTATAATTAGCTGTGCCCCAGTCAAGCTATTTTAGCACAGATATAACACTGAAAAGATCAAAGAAGCAAAGGTTAAAAAGTATACAGAACAGGAATTTGCCAGTATTAAAAATTACATATGAAAATGCAAGGAGCAGAGCAAGTAGAGCTGTGGGAGCAGAGAGACACGTGACAAAATGCTATCATTGCAATAACAGAAAATTGGTTTAAAGAAGGGCCAAAGTAACAACATAGCATCCCTACATATGGAGGTTTCAGGCAAGATAGAGAGGGGATTTTTTTTTTTAAAAAAGCTTAGGATGTAGCATTATTAGTTAAGGATTCAATTACAGCCAGGAAGAAAGATGATATTCTAATATGAATGATCTAGTGAGGCAATATGGGTTGAGTTCAGATATAAAGCAGGGGCTGCCAATCTGCTAGGAGTGTACTATAGACTCCTAAATAGTGGACAAAGATGGAGCAACAAATATGTAGGTAAATTTCTGAGTGTAAAAGCAAGTAGACCAGTAATTGTTGAGGATGTCAACTACCCTATATCAACCAGGATACATTGAGTGTGAAAGACACAGAGGGCACAGAAGAATTTTTTGAGCCAGAAGAAATAAGCCTAAACAGATGAGGGACAGTTCTAAATTTAGTCTTAGGAAATGAAGCTGGGCAAGTGGACCAAGTGGCAGTGGAGACTATTTTGGAGATAGTGACTGTAATACAGTTAGATTTGGCATAATTGTGGAAAAGACAGAACAGGAGTAAAAGTTCTAAATTTGGGGTACCTGAGAGGAAATAAAACATAAGAGCAGAAGTAGGCCATTCAAACCATCGAGTTGCTCTGCAGTGAGATCATGGTTGATCTGGTAACCCTCAACTCTGATTTCTTGCCTTTTCCCATAACCCTTGTGTGATGATGCTGTCACCTTTAAAGGGTTTTTTTGTGTATTCTTTTTGGAAAGAGGTTATAAGGCAGAGGTGTTGAACTGGCTACTGAAGACAACTTAAGTAAACATCTTGTGTGGACTTGGGTTTTTTAAATTTAGAACAATAGAAGCAGCCTGGGTGTAGCCAGCTCTCGTTTTTTTAGCTTTAGGCATCAGAAGCTGTTTGGGGGTCTCAAAAGAGTTGAAAGCTTCAGTGAATATCTTCTGGCTGTTCCACTTTCTCTGAATTTTCTTTTGATGTTCTTTCCTCCTGTACTGGAGAATTGCATGTAAGAATCTGTGTCTGAATTTGCCTTTTTGCCAAGGGGTGTGTTTATGGTGTGTTACTATATTGCAAAAGTTAATTAATAATAGGTACTGTATATTATTGGTGAAGTTTTCCAATAGTTAAATTATTCTAAATTCTTCTTCCTTTTGTTTGTATTTTAATTATAGTGTTTAAATTGTGTTTTGCTTAACATCAAGTAGTTTGACCAGTCACATCGCATCTGGAACAGGGCGCTTCACATCTAGCTCTATAGTAAGAAAAAGGTAGGGTCTAAGCTACCACCTTTTAAAATGTTTACTCTGGACTGGGCCATAAAAATTGGGATGAGTGGTAGGTGTTAGTGTCTTTTGTTTCAAGTGTTGAATTTGGTTGGTTTAAACAGGGTGTGCCTATGTAGTAATGGCTCTTTTGGCCACTGTGTTTTCTGGGGGTGGAAGAAGTGATTTCGGGAGTTTACAAGAAGTGAGCAAGGCAAAGCTGTTGGAATTGGCAGACAAGCTTGAATTGGGCTTGCCTGGGTTTGCAAGAAAAGGGAAGGTAATTGCAGCAGTAGCTCAACGTTTAAAATTGCTGGAAATATCATCGGAATCTTTGGAAATGGCTAGAATTCAATTGCAGATGAAGCAGCTTGAACGTGAAAAGGAAATGAAACAGTTTGAATTATGATTAAAAGCAGAATAAAAACAGAAGGAGAAGAAAGAGAGAGATTAAAAGCAGAAAATTCAGCAAGTGTAGCAGCCAGGAGACATTCACTGAAGCATCCAACTCTTTTGAGACCCAAACAGTTTCTGATGATTAAAGCTTAAAAAAAATTAGAAATCCTGGTCTGTGAGAGCTAGCCACACCCAGGCTGCTTCCATTGTTCTAACTTTTTTTAAAAAAGCCCAAGGCCTGCAAGTTGTTTACTTAAGTTGTCTTCAGTAGCCAATTCATCACCTCTGCGTTACAACCTCTCTTCCAAACAAACCAGGAGAAAATAACCTTTTGAAGTGACAGCATCATCACACTTGCATATAATTAATGACCCAGCCTCAAGAGCCCTCTGCTGTAAAGAATTCCACAGATTCACTATCCTAGACAGAGGAAATTCCTCCTTGTAGAGATAACAAGGTGTAGAGCTGGATGAACACAGCAGGCCAAGCAACATCAGAGGAGCAGGAACGCTGACGTTTCGGGCCTAGACCCTTCTTCAGAAATTCCTCCTTACCTCTGTTTTAAGTAGCTGACCCCTTATTCTGAGATTATGCCCTCGGGTCCTAGGCCCTCCCACAAGGGAAAACAACCTGTCATGTAGAAATCATATAATGCTGATCATATACATTTGGAGGGGCGGTGACACTGCAGTACTCCAGAATCTCTGAAAAATGTTCCGAGTTCATGGGTTCAAATCCCACCATGGCAGGTAGTGAAATTTGAATTCAATAAAATCTGGGATAAAAAGCTCACCGAATAGTAACCACATAACCACTATCAACTGTCGTTAAGAACCCAATTGGTTCACGAATATCCTTTAGGAAAGGAACGCTGCCATCCTTACCTGATGTGGCCTATATCTGACTCGATTCCCAGAGCAATGTAATTGAATCTTAATTGCTCTCTAAAATGGCTTAGGAAGGTGCAATTAGGAATGGACAATAAATACTGGCCTGCTGTGAGAGAATTGAAAAAAAACAACTAAAATACAGAAGGCTTTACAATTTTTTAATGTTTTCTCACAATACTCGCTTTAAAGGAGTAGGCGTACTAGAAAATAGACTCATGGAATGGCTACAGCACAGCCCTTTTTTTTTCTGTGTATCCCTGCACATTTTCCCTTTTTCAGTTAATGATACAATTCCCTTTTGAAAGCCTCAATTGATCCTACCTCCATCACATTCTCAAGTAGTGCATTTAATTCGAACATCAGTAAGGAATACTACAAAGCATTGTTTTCATCGGCTTTGACAATTAAGTTTCTTTCTTAGCATTTGCTCCAACTATATTATCCTCTTTCTTTCCGAAAACAGCAAGGTATAAAGTGTTATGTTGTGTCAGAAATCTACATTCTGCAGAGTAATGAGGTCCAATGTGATTTCTGAATTGGCATATGGCTTTTGGAGATCAGGTTACAATTCTGAATAATAACAAATTTTTTTTATATAATAACTTGTAAAGTTATTTTACAGGTTGTAGCTAAAGATAAAGATCCTTTATTGTGCAAGGATCAATGGCACAAGATGGTGAAGAAAGTGTCCCAGTTTGGTATACGTACAGGAGCTTTCAATTGTTCCAATGACCCCAGGTAGGTTTTACAGTTCACCATGCAACCCTCTAGTGCCTGGTTGTATTCTGTCTGTCAAAACTAATTATTGTTACAGTGTGTCCATTTGTGACAAAGGATTCCATTTTCCTCCAGCTAAATTTGATCCTTTACTTTATTGTGAAAGATTTGATGACTGTTAAGTATGACTGCAGTAACTATACAATGACCCTTATATTCCTTTATTGTGAGGAAGGTAAGGGCTCACCAGGCTGTATATATTAAGAGCACTTTGTTGACATGTGAAAGATCGAGAGAGGAAAATTGGTTCTCAGAAACTTGATTGAGTTTTTTTGAGGAAATTACCAAAAAGATTGATAGCAGAGCAGTAGACATTGTTTATTTGGATTTTAGTAAAGATTTTTGACAAGGTTCTGCTTGGTAGATTAATTTGTAAAGTTAGGTTACATGGGGTTCAGGGTGAGCTTGCCAATTGGATACATAATTGGCTTAACAGCAGGAGACAGAGTAATGCTGGAGGCCAACTAGAGGCGTGTGACTAGCGGTGTTCTTCAGGGATCGGTTGGGTCCTCTTTTGTTCGTCATTTATATAAATGATTTGGATGAGAATGTAGAAGGCATAGTAACTTTGGGGACAACACCAAAATTGGCATACTAGAATGTGAAGAAGGCTCTCTAAGATTACAAAGGGATCTTGATGAAA